GTCCAGCATCACCAAATAGTCCAAGCTTCTTCAGCCTTACTCACAGGATACTTTGAGTCTATCACTGTCTTAAGCTTCCCTTCCTTCACCAACTTCACAACATACTCAAGGTTCTCGACTGCGGGTACGCAATACAGTGGCACAAGTTGCTTCTTGTTTCACGAGCTGCAGGTGTGATGTAGTATTTTTATTTTTTATTTTTTTTCTCATTCATTACAATAGTAACTTGATGGGAGTGAAGGAGTGATATGATGCATGAAAGGGGGCAGGACATGGGGTAGGCTGGGTGGGGGCAAGGGTCTAGAATTATATATATATTCTTTTTTTTTTTCTTTTTTTTCCATTGAAGGAAATGATCGTTGTGTTGTTTTGTTTATTTTGTTTATTTATTTTTTTATTTTTTCAAGATCAATCTTTTATTTTTTTTATTTTTTAATTTTTGAAAGTGGTTTTTTATTTTTATTTTTTAAAATTTGACCATTGATAGAGAGAGGGTCGGATGGGTGGACCGAACAGAGCCATGCCGCTCGCAGGGCCCGAAATTTTTTGGGCTGGGCTAGGCCACAAATGGAAGGCCCAAGTCCAAGGTGCTGGACTGGGCTCAGGCTCAGGCCTAATCGGACCAAACAGGGTCGGGCCCACCTCGGGCCTGGGGTGAGCTTCAGGCCGCCCATGGGCCTTAAGCCACTTTTACACCCATATCTATAAGGCAACCACAGAGGTAGAGATGGGCCGCCCTAGGCTAAACTTTATAAAAATTATGAGTATCATTTATTTGTAAATCTCATATACAAAATTTAAAATTCATCTAATCTCAAAATAAAATATTTATATCAATTAGTCTTATATATTTTTAATTGTTTCCAAAGAATCCTTTTTTTTTAAAAAACTTTAAAAATGCTACTGCATTCTACCACCGCCAGACTTTCATCAGACAGTCATCAGAGACTCGCTGGAATATTGAACATCACCGGGAAGTCGCCAAAATATCGTCGAAAGTTCGCCAGAGTACCCAGAGTGTTCTAAACATCATTGAAAGTCGTCCGAATATCCAAAATATTAATTAAACGTCAAGAATATCATCGGAGATTGTAACAACCCCAACCTCTGATTAACGTTAATCTATGATTAATTATGCCTAATTAGCAATTAAGGTGAATTTTGAATTAAAATGCATGCGTGTGTTGCATTATTGTGTTTATATCTGTTAGGTGTAGAAAGATCTGTTCACGTTTTAGTTTCGGTTTGCGAATTGAAAGCCTTATCGGCGTTCGAATCAGAAAATTGACTTGATTTATGTGCTAATTAGGATTTATAGAATTTTATGGTAGGTTTAATTAAAATTCGGTTTGGAACGATTAAACTAGATTAAAATAATGTTATTTGATTAGTTTGGATTAATTATTACTTAAGGCACCATTTTGAGTCCACTCACTTCTTTTCTTGACTTCACCACATTATGAGCTCATCCAAGAGAGAACCAAATGTGAGATAGAGAAAGGGAGAGGAGAGTTGAGCTCAACAAGAAAATTCTTGAAGGTAGAGGAAGTTGAAGAGAATTTGGAAGATTAAGCTACCACACTTGAGAATTCAAGACTTAAGGTAGGCATTCACCCTCATAACTATGAAATTGAATTGCTAGTACAAGGA